AAACCCATCCCCCCCCCCCCCCCCCGCCCAATAGCAAATTAGATTTGCAGCATCAAAAAGCAGGAAGAATATAAAATAAATGCTAATGCCATGTCATAAGACTCTGCTGAAAGTGTTTACAACTTGTTCCTGCCAGAATTTACTGTTTATATTTGTTTCTTTCTTAGCCTACGTAGCAAGATCAAAAGTCATCCTTCTACCTATAAGCAGATCTAATGTATAGCTCTGCTTCCAGGTTGAAACTAAGCTGCATCAACATTAAAGAAATACCTTAGGTGTAAAGTCTTGTAACAAGAACAATAAAACCCACTTAATTTTATGTTTGAGAAAGTGGGCTATTTTTTTTTCCTTTGGAGACTGCTCTAGATAGCAGTCATGTAGGATGGGCTTACAAATAAGAACAGCTTGTTCAGCTAGTAGCTGTTTTGAAGAAACCTTTGGCACTTTTATTAATGGACTGTTGTCACAAATACTTTGTTTGTTTTAATACTCTGTTCCTACCCATATTTTAGACATCAGTGACATGGTTGGCTTGCCAGTGCGTTGAAATGGCCCATTCTTCAGGCTTGTTGGGCAGGGTTTTAATCTGTTTTTTCAGCACTAGTGAGATGCTTTTACCTGCATGCTACTGTGATGTCACCAGTGTCATGGATGGTGACTGTGTTTCTCCTGTCTGCAGATCTGATTAGTTGCCTGGCACTTCATCTGTGGCAAGCAGGACAATGGCTGCCAGCAAGAGCAAGAACCAGAGTTCCTTGGCCCTCCATAAAGTAATTATGGTTGGCAGTGGAGGTGTGGGCAAATCTGCACTCACTCTTCAATTTATGTACGATGAGGTAAGTGCCTTTGGTTCAGCTTCTCCAAAGCACCAACGGATACAGCTTACTGAACTTTTTTAGTGGGACAGGGGAACTAAATGTAAGTAGCAAGATACCTGATGATCTTACTGGCAGGAGAAGGATGTAGGAGTCTGGAAAGGCTGCCCTCTGGGAACATCTTTGGCTAAGGGTGACAAAATTGATGCTTATCAGTGAAAGAACAGTCTGCAGAAGACATGCAGAATGTGAATGTGCTTGTCTGAGTGTACAGGGTCTGTTACCACTTGGCATTGAACTTTAATTTTGTTGTGGGTTTTTTAGGCCAGTTAAGGTTGAAGTCAGAAGTAAGCATTCTAGCTCATTCTGAGCCAAATGATGAAGTAGGCATGCTCATAGCATTAATTTTTCCATACTAGTGTATACAGGAAGCTAGATCAGACAATCCAGACTACTTTGTGAAGGAATACATGATTGTATTATACGCTGGTATTTACCTATAGGCTGTTCTTGCATACTATAGCAATGTGAATATCTGAATGGGTGGTGTAGATGTTAGTGATGGCCAGCCAGCTTAATTGGGCTCATGGCACAGCCTTTTGTTATACTTGGAGGCTGAGAGAAAGGGGGTGGAAAGTTAAGGACCCCATGCTGGATGCGCGCTGTTAGCACAGAACTACAGGTTGCAGTGGCTTTGTGGATCTAATCAATATTGAATGGACTAAAGTACGTGTCTGTGTAATTATGGAGCAGGCTTCCATGTTCAGCAACTAGATGCTGTCATCTACACATGTTGAAGCTTCAGATAGCTGTACCTGAAGTACACGGAAATACTTTTCTCTTTAAGTGGGAGATTTAGATAATGCCACTAGATTGCTGGTAGCTTATACTGTATCTTTGTCCCTTAAATTGTGTTGAAATTGCTGAACAGTGTTTCACGTAGCAAGACAGTTTCTCTTGACTAGGCAGACTGGCTCTTTGATATACTAAGTGCTTAAATAATATGGTTTTTATAGTAAAAATATTGTTGGAACTTAGTAGTTGACTGAATTATGAGAAGGTTTGGAGGAATTTAAATGTCACCGAAGTAAAAGAGAATGGATATGGATGAATGTTGATACCATTTGACAGTAATTCTAAACACTAATCCCTTATCTTCTTCAGTTTGTAGAAGACTATGAACCTACCAAGGCTGACAGCTACAGAAAGAAAGTAGTTCTGGATGGTGAAGAAGTTCAGATAGATATTCTGGACACAGCAGGACAGGAGGATTATGCAGCTATCAGAGATAACTATTTCCGCAGTGGGGAAGGGTTTCTTCTAGTCTTCTCAATAACAGAGCACGAATCCTTTACAGCAACAGCAGAGTTTCGGTAAGTAATTTCTCTCCCAGGCAGGGGGAAATATTTGGTTCCTATGTTGCTCTGACAACTCTTCTTAAAAGCTACACCTCTTTATCCCTTGTCCATTACTATTTGGTCAATAAAGGTGGCAACTCACCAGTTACTGAGAGCAAAATGGTTAACTTAAACCACATTATCCAGCCTCTGGCTCTAGTTGTCTTCATGCCATTATGAGTACCTTATGCCAGCAGCAACTTCAGGCAAGTAGCAGATTCTTGGACTCCTAAAACATGTGTATTCAAGCCAATTTTCAGTCTTTGTGGATGTGAAGTTTAATTATCTTAGAGCAGTACTTCTGGAATTAAGTCTGCCTTTTGGCCAGGTTTCAGACACTGTATTGCTTACTGCTAGAAGCAGGTGCTCTAAGAAAAGGAAGGATTAGCCTCCACTCTCAGGTATGGATTGGTGCCAAACAAGGGTTGGCAGCCAAGCAGTACTATTGTAGGCAGATGTATTCCTAGAAAGACGCACAGTAGTAGTAAATGCTTCCATTTTTGTTCTTGGGATTAGCAGTTCCAATGTAAAAAATCAGCACCAGGCTGAGCACAGAAACTGCTTGTGCAGTGTAAAAGAAAAACAAGAGGGCTAATCCATTGTTCTGGCCTCAGAACTCAGGTAGCCAGGTTCCTCAGGGCAAGTGTTCTAACTCTTACCTGATAATAGCTGTTGCCTCAGTGTAGAATGCAGAGATTCCTTAGGACAACTGTATAACTTGAAATAAAACTTGCCAAAACATAGCGAAAGTGTTAGAAGTTCCTTATGTTTGCTGGAGTAAAAGCTCTTTATCAGTCTGGCTTTTGTTCACTTTGCTTCAGTGGTACAAGGTTAACAGATGCTAATTGGTAATGCAAGTGCTGGTTAGATGCCTATTTCTAGAGTTTTCTTAAAGTTATAGCAAACTCCCCTCACACTTTAGGACTTTGGTCCAGGTTCTTAATGTATTATACTGTTGCAACAGTAGTAGGAGATTGCATAATCTTTTAAGAGGTATAAAAAGATATTGTTTGTTTGTCACATAATACTTCTGTGACTTTGCTAGACTTCAGGAGGCTGACAGTCACAGGGGACACAGGCAGAACCGTTCTGCTCAGTTTGCTCTAACTGGAGCACTTAAAGGAGCTAAACAGTTGAACTGTTGTAGGACTGCAAAACTGAGTAGTTGGACTGTTTGTAGTATAAGATGAAGGAAAAAGTCAGATACCATTCAAAAAACAGGAAGAAAATGAGACATTTGGAAGTACCCAGCCTGGGTTCTGACTTGTATGCTTAAGTGAAATATAAGGTTAAACCCAAGGCTTTGGGTGAAAAGGAATAGGAGTGTTTATCTTGGCAGTTTGTATTTTTTGTCAGACTTCTGTAACTAAGTTGACTGTATGCAGCACAGTGCACAGCAATGCTAGCCCTAAAGACAAGAAAGAAGGACCTAAAAGTTCTGAGATGGAGAATCTCGTATGCTTCAATGGGTCAGAAGTAAACAGAGTGAAATTACTTAAACTGAGTATTTAGTTAGGCTGACATGTAAGAACTAGCTCCTAGGAAAACTCCTTCCCAGGAAGGAGGGGAAGAATGTGTAGTATAGTATCATGGGCTAAACTACAGATTGTTATTATTGATCCTGTAACTTCCAGAATTCTTAAACTATGAAAAAGTTGATTACTGAATGAATTATGGGCTTGTCTTTAAACCCTAGCTCTCCTGCTGATGCTATGTATTCAGTGTTTGCTTTAAGTGCCTCTGTAATCTGAAAATGTGCAAAGGTGCGGTTGAATGCAACAGCAGAATGTCTGCTTCACTGTTAACACTGTTTTAGATTCTTGCGTACTCTACATACATTCAGTTATTTTGTGGATGGAAAGTGCAAGCATCCGAAGTAGTGTGGTAACTCAGTGGAACGAGGGGCTGTAGTACCATGGTCATGCCTAGTTTAGCTCTTGTTCATAATAAAATGAAGCAAACCAAAAATAGGACTGGTACAGTTTGCTGATGGACAGCAGCATGTGTCAGTCTGGTTTCAACCAATGTTTTACTCTAATAATAGCACAGACTTTGACCTGTAGCATTACTGTCTCCTTTCCTGGATGCTGATAGGTTCTTTTAGAATGATAAAGGATAGCTAGGTTAATGCTGATGGTTCAAATATTTTCTTGGAGTCTTTGAAGGAGGAAGGTGGCCAGCACTTTAGTTCAGCACTATTTAGTAACTCTGTCCTCTATGTAAAGTTAAGTTAGGCATTAAGAATGATCTCTGCCAGCTACTTCTGCTGTTTCGCCTTGGCAAAGCCTTGATGTTGCTCAGACATACATTGAGGTGGGATGTAGACTGGAGCTTGAAGATCGTGACTAAATGCCCAGGTGAAACTTGGCAAATGTGGCACTTTTTCACATCTGAAGGAGGAAAAGAGTACTTCTGTTGTGGATTGCTCTTCTGCCATACAGGTCATCTTTATTAGAGCTTGGGTAGTAAACTTCTAACTAAATGGTAGAACTGCCTTCCTGGAAGTGTGAGCCTTTTATTAGTGTAAAGCCCATAGCATTAGTATATGAAACTTGGAATAATTTTAAAGTGTGTTCACCTGTTGGGAAATGTACTATTGTAACCACTAGTAATGTGCAGACCACTTGATCCACTCCTGATAAGGGTGAGGTTTTTGTTGCTACTACTAACACGGATATTTTTATTTTGAATACCTGATGCATTAGGGAACAGATCCTGCGTGTGAAGGCTGAAGAGGATAAAATACCTTTACTGGTAGTGGGAAACAAATCTGACTTGGAAGAGCGCAGACAAGTGCCTGTAGAAGAGGCTAGAAGTAAGGCAGAGGAGTGGGGTGTGCAGTATGTAGAAACCTCCGCCAAAACTAGAGCGAATGTAGATAAGGTAAGATAAATGACATCTGCTCAATTAAATCGTTGCTGCTTGTTTAGTAGCTAAGTGACTGTCCTGGTTTTGGTTGGAATAGAGTTAATTTTCTTCCTAGTAGTGTGTATAGTGCTGTGATTTGGATTTAGATGAGAATAATATTGATAACACGCTGTTTTGGTTGTTGCTAGGCAATGCTAACACTAAATCAAGGACTTTCCAGATTCCTGTATTGCCCTGCCAGTGAGGAGGCTGGGAGTGCATAAGAAGCTGGGAGGGGACACAGCCAGGACAGCTGACCTCAACTGGCCAAAGGGATATTCTATACCATATGACATCATGTAGTAGAGGGAAAGCTGGCTGGGGAACTGCTGCTTGGGGAAAGACTGGGTGTTGGTGGGTTGGTGGTAAGCAATTGTTTTGCATTTGTATCGCCTGTCTTGAGTTTTATTTCTCTTTGTTTATTTTCCTTTTCATAACAATTGCAATAAAATAATAATAAAATTGTAAACTGTTCTTATCTCAACCCACAAGTCTTCTCACTCTTCTGATTCCCTCCCTCATCCTGGGGGGG